GTTTCAGAGCCAGTATTGTCCTAGATTTGGGAGAACAAAGTACCACTGATTCTACTTCTTAAACAGATTCAAGGGTTATGGAGATGCAATTATCTAGATCCACCAGAATTCTTACACAAAAGCTTAAATTATGCATTGATAATTAAACCTAGTAGAAAAAAATACATCCTTTTATTTCAACATAAAGGGGATATTTTTATTTATATTAAATGAATACCTCAGCTGGGCACTGGTAGCTCATACTGATAATCCTAACTATTCAGGAGGCTGAGATCTGAGGATGACGGTTCAAAGCCAACCCAGGCAGGAAAGTCCTTATCTCTAATTAACCACCAGAAAACTGGAAGTGGAGCTGTGGCTCAAAGTAGAAGAGCACTAGCCTTGAGCAAAAGAGCTCAGAGACAGTGCATAGGCCTTGAATTCAAGTCCCATAACTAACTAAATACATACATACATACATACATACATATATATATATATATATATATATATATACACACTAACTATTATCATCTATCATTGAAATAAAAATAAATATTTTGGAAAAAGAGGATCATGGTTTGAAGTCAACCCTGGCAGACAAATCTGATCCATATCTATATTTAACCAGCAAAATGCTAGTACAAGTGTGACTCTAGTGGTAAAGTGCTAGCTTTGAACAAAAAAGCTATATGAAAGTACCAGTCCCTGAGTTCAAGCACTAGTATTGGCACAAGCACACACACACACACACACACACACACACACACACACACACCCCAGTTCTGGGGCTTGAACTCAGGGCCTAGGCACTGTCCCAGAGTTTTTATGTTCAAGGCTAGGGCTCTATCATTTCCAACATTTTTACTGGTTAATGAGAGATAAGAATTTTATTTTATTTCTGGTCTGGATTCAAACTAGATCTCAGCCTCCTGAATAGCTAGGATTACAGGAGTGAGCCACTGGCACCCAGCTATAAAGGTTTTATTTTAAGTGTCATGGAAATAAAATTCACAAAAAGAAACTAAATATAAATCACTAAAATCAGTAAAGCACATTAATCATCATAATTTCACATAGGTGATTATAGGGTAAGGCTAGTAAGTTTCTAGCAGTAAGTTTGAAACTGTTTAGTAGGACTTGCTATACAAATGAAAGGAATAAGCCAGGCTCACACCTGTAATCCTAGCTACTCAGGAGGCTGAGATCTAAGGATTGTGGTTCAAAGCCAGCTCAAGCAGGAAAGTTCATTATTAACCACCAGAAAACTGGAAGTAGTGCTGTGGCTCTAAGTGGTAGAGCACTAGCCTTGGGTAAAAGTGTTCAGGCACAGCACCTAGGACCTGAGTTCAAGCCCCACAACCAACCACACACACACACAAAAAGCCAGGCACCAGTGGCTCACACCTTTAATCCTAGCTACACAGGAGGCTGAGATATGAGGATCTCGGTTCAAAGCCAGCCCAGGCAGGAAAATCTGTGAGACCCTTATCTCCAATAAACCACTAGAAAAGTGGAAGTGGTGCTGTGGCTCAAGTGGTAGAGCACTGGTCTTGAGCTGAAGAGCCCAGGGACAGCACCCAGGCCCTGAGTTCAAGCCCCATGACCAACAAAAAAAAAAAAAAAGGAAAAAGAAAGAAAAGAAAGGAATATCAGAAATTCATCAAAATGAATATATTAGTGAAAGTTTACATGCTTCAAAATACTTACAAAAATGCTATTTCAGGGCCTGGGTACTGTTTCTGAGTTTTTTGCTCAAGACTAGCACACTACTACTTTTAGGCACAGCTCCACTTCTGGTTTTCAGGTAGTTAATTGGAAATAGATTCTCAAGGACTTTCCTGTCTGGGCTGGCTTCAAACCACAGTCCTTATATCTCAGCCTCCTAGTAGTAAGGACTACAGGTATGAACCACCAGCATCCAGTTATTTCTTTTATAATTAATAACTAGGCTCCAAATAAAATTTCAGTTCTCAAAAATGTTCATGCCAGCTTGGTGCTTGTGGCTTACACCTGTGACCCTACTAAAATGGTAAAGAGCCAACCAAATGAGCGAGCAAGCTGTGCAAGTTCAAGGCCCTATGACCAATACCCCTGAATCCATGCCTTAGTATCCCTAAAAAGGATAATAATCAGTAAAATCAGGGCTAAAGGTCCTAAATGTATCTGCCTAACAAAGAATATAGTGCTGGACACACTGGTGCAAGTTTTACTTATATATGTAAATTGGTATTTATTTCCTTATATTGATCATTGCTTGGATTCTGAGTATATCCCAGGAGATGGATATGCTCTCTATTTGCTGATGAAATCAATTTCTGATCCTACAATGATGCAAATAGAACTCTGGACTACAGTATATTTACCCAAGTAATGAAAGCTCTTGAGGCCTCTTAGAAAATAACCAAATGACTCTCCAGGCTGCTCCTTTCTCTACTGATGAGAGGTCAAGTAAGCTATTCCTTTATCTTAAAATTTGTACTCTTTTGCCAGGTGTGGTAGCACATGTCTGATATTCCAGCTTCTCAGGAGGTGGAGGCAGGAGGATCATGAATTTGAGACCTGCCCAGGCCTCAAAGTTAGCAAAACCCTATCTCAGAAACAAAATATCAACAAACAGGCTGAGGGTGTGGCTCAAATGGTAAAACTTGCATGGAGAAAGTCCTGGGTTCAATCCCAGGTCCTGCACTTAGAATTAATAATGATTTTTATGCTAAAACACCAATGTAAATACAATGAAAACAATAATTTCAAGTACAGTTATGATGTTTTATATATATATATATATAGACACACACACACATATAATTCTCTGCTTGAGCATCTAAATAAGCAAGGTATAATATTCTTAAAAGAGAAAGCTTTATGTCAAAACAAACTGCAGAAGGAACTATCATGAAGTAAAGGAAATATAGACAAGCCAAGCTGACTTCAGAAGTGAAGGCACAGAAGATAAACATTGCTAGCTTTAAAGACTGAAGAAGGGGGCCATAAGCCAAGAAACAAAGGATGGGGGGAGGAGGAGGAAAAGGAAGAGGAGGAAGAAGAAAAACAGGCAAATGGTCAGGTACCTGTGGCTTATTCCTGTAACCAATCGTAGCTATCAGGAGACTGAGATCTGAGGACTGAGGTTCAAAACCAACCAAGGCAGGGAAGTCTGAAATTCTTATCTCCAATTAAAACACCAAAAAGCCAGAAGTAGAGCTGTAGCTCAGGGTAGAGTGCCAGCCTTGAGCAGAAAAGGTTCAAGCCCTAGAACTCACACATACAAAGAGGAAAAAAAAGCTGGGCATGGTGTGACACACCCACCATCCCAGCTATGGCAGGAAGTATAAATAGGATAATAGTCTAGGCAGGCCCAGGCAAAAAAGCAAGATCCTATCTCAAAAATAGCAAGAGTAAAAGGGGCTGGAGGTGTGGCTCAAGCAGTAGAACCTGCCTAACAAGTGTGAAGCCTACTACTGCAAAAAAAAAAAAAAAGGCCGTCAATCAGTACATGTTAGTTTTGTTTGTCCAACCTCTCTTTTCCCTTTGTGCTAAAACCAAGATCTAGCTCAAGCCCTTCTTCAGCAGTGGTGAGGCCTGCAGTCAGGCTAGAGTACACATCTTCCTTATCATAGTGATTGGTCCAAGAAAAATAACCAGAGCCAAGATAATAACCCTGGTTTATAATTTCCCAGATAGGAAGTGCAACAGCTCCTTCAATCTGGAGTTATAAGGATGGAATTCTAAAACTGCTGGCCACCCTGAAAGCAAAGCCAGTAAACACTAAAACCAATCAACTCTGAAGTCAGTTCTATCCCCTTTTTCTCCCGTTTCAGTTAGATGAGCCAATAAATTCTTTTCTTGCTTATGCAAATTTTATATTGTCACTTATAAACTAAAATAGGAAAACTTAATACTCAGTCCTGTGAAAAACTTCAGGGAAACTGCAGGGCCATTAGCAGAAAGATTCGTATACTCAAATGACTAAGAGACAAGATTTGAGCCACTGTACATAAAATTCCACTCTGTAAAAGGTAAATATAAAATAACAGAACCTGGATGACTCCCTTAATGCTTATTAATGCTGAAAAACCTGATTAGCAAAATTAGTGACATACATATATATATATATATATAATTGATCCTTAGATGGGTGCAGCTTTTCAATTGGTTTTCACTTTTTGGGGAGAGGTGTGGCTGTCCCTGAGCTTTTTTGTTCTACCACTTGAGCCATAGCTCTACTTCAGCTCCTTGGTGGTTAACTGGAGGTAAAACTCTTATAAACCTTCCTTTCTGGGCTGGCCAACCACCATCTTTAGATCTTAACCTCCTGAGTAGCTAGGATTATAGGCATGAGCTACTGGCATCCAGCCTGTTTTTTATCTTTCTAAACAGATCAGCCCACTAAACATTAAATCTCATTTATCAACCCCAGTTTTCTATATCACACAAACATAGAGAGGAAAAACAAAACAAAACAGGCACTGGTGACCACAACATAAATTCTAGCTTTCTCAGGGAGCTGAGACGGTTTGATGGCTAGCCAGCCTAAGATAATAGCTTACTGGAGGTGGTAGAATACCAGTGATGAACAAAACAGCCAACTGAGAGTGCAAGGCACTGAATTCAAGTCCTGTACTAACATAAAGAAAAAGATAGAAAAGATTTCATTTCTATTTTAGCAGTTTTTTAATCACAAATTCAAGGATTCATCAGTATAATTTTTCAAACTTTATTTCTTTCATCAATAGAAAAAAGTAAAATTTCCCAAAGTACTGATTTTTAGATAATGTTTACAATTGCCACCGAAAAGCAGTTTCACAAAAAATAACATTCAGTGATCTCTAAATGCAACTTTAATCCTTATTTTAAGGTAAGTACAATAACTTAAGGCAATAAGCTATATTCAAAAAGCTTGTGTATCTTGAACTACAAAAGTGGTTTGTAGCCACATGTGGTTCGAATCAAGAAGATATTTCCACATCAAACACGTACTTACGAATATGTTAATAAAACACTACCCCAAATACTTACCCTGCCATCAGTTTTTTAAGCCCTGTCATTCTTAATGCAGAAACCACTTATTTTTAGAAGCTTTAATCTGATCTGAGAAAATGAGATTTCCAAAACTTAATAGTACGTTAGAAGTTCAATAAGGTTTTAAATTGTTTTTTAAAAAGCCTTTTAACACAAAAGCATGATATGAAACTTTAAAAGAAATCTATCTTTAGAAAAGAATATTAAAACAAATTATGAGACAGATAAACATCCTTCCCAAAATGAGTTGTTTTCCCCGTTTTATCTCCTTGAAAGAAACAAACCAATTCACTATTTTTAATAACTTCTCATACCACTACTATCTAAAAACTTTAGAACACATGAAATACTGTCTCAGCTTTAAGAGCCAAGAAAGGGTATCTCTATTTCACATATTAAAAGCTTATAGTGGCCCAAATCTATCTAAAACATAAATACTGCATGATTTACAACACTTTAAACTTACATGTAGTCATTAAAAGCCAATAAAGAATTCAAGTACACTCATATAAAGGTAGGAAATTAAAGGCTCAAGTATCACTCTAAAATTGAGGACATGAAAATAAAGGCTGAGACCTTCTTTCTTCATCTTTCATGTACATGCTTAGATATCAGGACAACCCTGCAGAAAATACACAGTCATTATGTATGGTTTCCACAGAAGATGGTGAAATTTCAGAAAGTACAAAAGGTGTCAAGATCCATAGTTTGCTTCATCAAATGCTTTTCTAGCTCGTTTCAATTCTTCATTCATAGTAAGTAAGTCTTTAACTCTAGCAAATTTTCTTGGATCCTTTCGAATCAAGAAGACAATATCTTCAACTTGCACTCGACCTTGTCTCCCAATTGACATTGCTTTGTGAGTCTATTACAAAAAAAATTAAATTAAAAATTTAAATATCAAGTATTTTTTGACTGAGTATAGTACACACTTGTAATTTCTGCACTCAAGGAGGCTCAGGCAGGAAGTTCTGAGGGCCAGCATGAGATATCATAATGATTCCCCCGTCCCCCCCTCCAAAAGTGTAGTTTTAATTTGTAGTTATTAACTTCTTGAAGAGGTTGAAGACTTCCCTAATTTTAGCTTTCATTTGTGAGATATCTTTCTATTAGTGTTCTATGTCCACTCTCTGTTGGGTAATTAGCAATATTTCTCTTTAGCATCTTTAATATTAAGGACATGAAAATAATCAAATTTAATGGTCATCCCTTTTTTAATTTTTAATTTTTGGTATTGTGTTAAAGAGTCTTAGTTGTATAGCCTGGGAAATCCTCCAACCCACCATCCTCCCACCTCATCTTCCTGAATGCTGGGGTTACAGGCATAACACACCACACCTCATTTGTTTTTTAATATGTAGGGTCTTTTGTGTTTTTTGGATATGAGTGAGACAGAATAAGGTTGGCCTCAAACTCAGGATGCTACTGCCTCTACCTGTCAAGTATTAGGAGTGCTGGTATTGCCTAGGCAAGCACCACATTTTGAAATGTAGTGCTGGGACTAAAACAGAGCCCACACAGGCTAAGGATATACTTTACCACTGAGCTAGCTATACCCCCAACCAAGTATTTGTACATTTGTCTTCATTTGGCCCAGTCATATTTCTTTATGCTGGGGCCAGCCTGGACATCCTATTTGTGCTTCCTTGTGTCTCTGGGGTGACAGGTATATACTACTCTGCCCAGACACTGTGCTTCCTTTAAGTTGGGGTGAGACACAGGCCACTAAACCCAGTCATTGATTGAGTTAGAGCCTCACAAATGTTATGCCCAAGCTGGCTTTAAACCACCATCTTACCTCCCAAATGGCTACCATTACAAGCTTAAGCTACCATACCCAGCTTTTTTTTTGTATAATTTTATAATTTCTTTGTAACCAATTTCATTTATCCCTTGAGTCCTATTCTATCTCAGAATCGAGTAATAAACTTCACCCATTATTATCATAATATAGTCTCTTGTGCCAAAACAAAGCTATAGATGGGCACCAGTGGCTCATGCCTATAATCTTAGCTATTCAGGAAGATCAAGGTTTGAAGCCACCCCAGAAAGGAAAGCTGTGAGACTCTTACCTCCAATTAACCAACAAAAAGCCAGAAGTGGAACAATGGCTCAAGTGAAAATGTAGCTCAATAGTATTTATTTCCTTGCCTCACATTTTCAAAGCACTGGGTTCAATCACCAGCACCACAAAATAAAACCACTGTAAGCTAAAGGCATGGCTCAAGTGGTAAAATGAATGCTTGCTTAGCAAGCACAAAGCCCTGAGCTGATACTTCAGTACCACCAAAATAAATAAATAAAACCACTGGTAAATAACTATTGGATAATAAGGTTATAGGAAGTATTTTTCTAGTTTAATGAAGGATTTTATAATTATAAACGAAATATAGAAGGGTGAAATATATTTACATAATCTCCATTTAAAGACAAATCAGTACATAATTTGCACAAGGTGCTGTCCCTTAGCTTTTTCACCAAAGCTGGCACTTGAGCCACAGTCCCACCTCTGGCTTTTTTGCTGATTAACTGGGTGTTTGAGCCTCATGAACTTTCCTGCCCAAGCTGACTTCAAAATGAAATCCTCAGATCTCAAACCCCTAGGTAGCTAGAATTACAGACAGGCATGAGCTACCAGTGCCCTGCCAAAGTCCTTAATTCTATCTAAAACTTGAATTTCTAATCTATTATTCAATTAACTAAATCCATGAGGGGGGGGGAGTAAGGAAGGAAGAAAGAGAAAGAGAAAAAAGAAGGAAAAAGAAGAAGGAAGTTAAAGGAAAGAATGAGGAAGGAGTGAAGAGAGGGGAGAGAAGAGGGGGAAGACAGAGAGGGAAGGAAGGGAGGAAAAAGGAGGGCGGGAGAGAGGGAGGGGAGAGGAAAGGAGGGAGGGAGAGAGAGGGAGGGAGAGGGAGGGAGAGGGAGGGAGAGAGAGAGAACAATAAAAAGACAACTGATGAGCTGGAGGGATTAGCTTACTAGTAAAAAATGCTTGTCTAGCAAGCTCAAATCCCTCAATTCAAACCTCAGCACCAACAAAATATAAATTAAAACAGAAAAGTAACACTAATAAAAACACTTGGTTACAAAACTATCTTACCATTTCAGTGATGAACTCTATGACAAGGTCTTCAAGAATGTCCACTGATTCGGTATAAGGATTCTGGTCATCCCCAAATCCATACATCATACAACGTACTGTAAAAGAACACTGTTTACCAGAACTGATTTAACAATTTTACCAGTACTTTTTCCATATCAACTAGAACTCAATCAAGAAACTGGTATTACTTTTAAAACATACTTACATTGTATTTGTGTCTCCAGTTAAGGATTTGGGTGTTAAAGGTTTAACACCAGTTTTGTTTGTTTTGAAATTAAGTGATTACATAAGCTTCACAAATTTCACAGTATTGTGAGATAGTGATACTTAAAGTCACAAACACATTTTAACCTTCATGAGGCAAATTGTCATAATCTGGTCAATAACGTTTGTGAATTCTATGAGCTTTGACAATACAACTATTTCTTCCACATCGGGTGATAAGTACATTTTTTTAAACACCAGTTTTAAAACCCATCTTATCACCTAATCTATAACAAAACTCCTGCCCAGCTACTAGCATGAATATTCTTTTCCTAATCTCTATCATCATCCATTTGTCAGCAGCTCACAGATACCATTAAGTGTCAGAATTTATGGCAGAAACAAGGCTACAAATACCTTAGCCTTTTTAGCAACTGTTCCAGTGTGTGGCAGTGGCAGTGGGACAGTGGAAATGAGAATGCAGAAGAATTATAATAGGAGAAAGTGCTCCAATTATTCCCTTACAAGGAACTGGAGTAATCAAAAGACAGCAGAGGGCTTAGTTACTAAACCTTGACATTTCATTGTCTTTCATATAGCCCTTACATTAGCAAGCTTCTGTTACATATAACTCATTTAATGCAGTGAAGTAACAATGATTCTGACCCCCATCCTACAGATGAGAACATTGAGGTTCTGAGTGGTTGGCCAAGGTCACACAGCTAGTAAGGTGAAACCTCAATTCAAATCCTACTGATTTCAACCACAACAGTATTACCTTTCTTTCTAGTTCAGACCAGATGAGATCCACATGGATATGGTCTATTATGTCCCGATTAGTCTACAGATAGGTTCTAAGTCCTTGAATCTCTCTTGAAATTACAGATATGTAATTATAGATATATGTGCACTTTCCTGGGAAGAATTATAACTTTTAGTAGATTCTCAAAAGGGTATGTACATGATAGAACTTTTTTTCCTGAGGCGTGGAGGGAAGACAGTGTCCCACTATATAAACCAGGCTGGTCTTGAACTGTAGACCCTTGTGCCTTAACATCCCATTTGCTTGGATTACAGATACTACTGTACCTCTGCCTTTTTTTTTTTTGGTTGGTTGTGGGTCTTGAACTCAGGGCCAGGGTGATGTGCCTCAGCTTTTTTGCTAGTGTGCTACCACTTTGAACCACAGTGCCACTTCCAGTTTTCTGGTAGTTAATAGGAGATGATAGTCTCACAGATTTTCCTGCCCTGGCTGGCTTTGAACCTCTACCCTCAGATCTCAGTCTCCTGAGTAGCTAGGATTACAAGGCTGAACCACCAGCACCCAGCATCAGCTTTTTATTATTTATTTTTTTGCTATTTTGTTATGTGGGGAGGGGTGGTACTGAGGTTTGAATTCTGTACCTCACACTGGGCTTTCTAGCACTTGAATAATAGCCATAGTCATTTTTACTTTTTTGGATAGGGTCTTTTGTTTTTAGAATGGGGACCAGCCTCAGACTATAATCTTTAAACCTATGCTTTCTGCATGATTGGGATCATAGGTACACACCCCTATACTCTACTTGTTGCAATGGGGTTTCTCAAACTTTGGCAAGGGCTAGCCTCAAAACTGAATCCTCTTGATCTTTGCCTCCTGAGTAGCTAGCAGTGAGCCACTGCATCCAGCTTTATTTGCATTTTTTTTTTTTGGGTCCGGTCATGGGGCCTGAACTCTGGGCCTGGGCGCTGTCCCTCAGCTCTTCAGCTCAAGGCTAGAGCTCTACCACTTGAGCCACAGCACCACTTCTGGCTTTTTTCTTTTTGCTTATGTGGTGCTGAGGAATTGAACCCAGGGCCTCAGGCATGCAAGGCAAGCGCTCTACCACTGTATTTGCGTTTTTTTTTTAAAAGATAAATTTTAAAGTTAGTCTTGGTGGTATGCGCCAAGAGGATTCTGTTCCACTTAGTTATGCCTCTTCAGTTTTCTCTGTCAAATCTTTACCAATTCCTCGGCTTTTTCCTGTCTTTCAAATCCTTAATATTTTTGAAGAATAATGGTTCATAATTTTCTTGTAGACTCCTCAGTTTGGTTTTGTTTGATACTGTCTTGTGATTAGATGGAGGTTACAGATGATTACATCAAGAAATGGTATGCCTTCACATGGCTGGAGGGTGGTATATGATACCACTATTACTGGTGAGTCTAACTTCTAATTTTCCTTTGTAAGTTTTGAAGATACAATGTTACTAACATTTGAGGGAAGAATTCACTAGTAGAAAAACACATTTCAGGGCTGGGAAGGTGGCTCAATGGTAGAGCGCTTGCCTTGCATGCCTGAGGCCCTGAGTTCGATTCCTCAGCACCACATAAGCAAAAAGAAAAAAGCCGCAAGTGGCGCTGTGGCTCAAGTGGTAGAGCGGAAGCCTTGAGCCGAAGAGCTGAAGAGCTGAGGGACAGCGCCCAGGCCCAGAATTCAGGCCCCAAAACTGGACCCCCCCCCAAAAAAAAAAGAAAAAGAAAAACACATTTCACTTAAAAAGAGAAACTTACACAGGAAGTATGTATTTGGAAGTAACCTATATTTATATGGTTAAAAGGTCAATAAAGGCATAAATAATGCTTTGAAATTATGTTACATTAACAAAAAATTTAAGACAGTTTAGGACAACAGATCCTGATCAATAATACATATGGAGATTCTGCATATTGCAAAGATATAATTGCACAGGTTTATAATCTCAGAACCTGGGAGGCCAAGACTGGACAGGTGAAAGTTCAAGACCAATCTGAGCTACACAATGAGACCCTGTTTAAAAACAAAAAGACAGATGTGAAGATTCTGATAAGAAGGCTGTGAAGGAGTAGGTATCTTGCCGCTAAAGTTTAGAGGCAAATAGATCGGGCTGGTGTGTTCCTATCCCTTGGAGAGGCCTGCTGGGAACAGGACTTCTAAAAGGCAAAATGTCTGGAAGGCTATGGTGCAAGGCCATTTTTGCTGGCTATAAGCGGGGTCTCCGGAACCAAAGGGAGCACACGGCTCTCCTTAAAATTGAAGGCGTGTATGCCCAAGGTGATACCGATTTCTACTTGGGCAAGAGATGTGCTTATGTATACAAAGTAAAAAACAACACAGTGACTCCTGGCGGCAAACCTAACAAAACCAGAGTAATCTGGGGAAAGGTAACGCGTGCCCATGGAAACAGTGGCATGGTTCGTGCCAAATTCCGAAGCAACCTTCCTGCTAAGGCCATTGGACACAGAATCCGTGTGATGCTGTACCCCTCCAGAATTTAAACTAATGAAAATTAAATAAAGTAAATCTGTCCTCTTGAAAAAAAAGAAGGCTGTGAAGATGAATGTTTCAAAGTCTTTCCATCACAAAGATAAAACTAACAGAAGCAGAATAAAAGATCTTTGCTAATAGCCAACTATGCAAACATCACCCTGGGAACCTCTCATGTAGGAAACCCCTTCATATGCTATATAATAAGAAATAAAATCACATAAAAATCAAGTACTTTGCATCAGAAAGACGGAATAAAGAACAGTCAGCTTTAGGTGAAAAATTAAAGTATGGAAAAGGAGGGTTAGGAGTAGTCCACATAGAGGGCTTGCCTAGCATGCACAAGACTGAGTTCAAATGATAGAGACACACACACACACACACACACACACAAATATGGAAAAGGATTTGAATGATTAAAATATTTATACATACTCTAAAGTTTCAAGAGTATTTGAGAACAACTGCTTAAGTCTGATCTAGCCTAGAAAAACTGGGTGCTCATAAATCTGTGCCGCTGTATCTCTCAACACTCAGCTATAACTATATGTCAAGGACACAGGCCTTAGAAATGAAGAGTAAATTCTCATGGTCCATTTCAAGAGTTGGAAAGCAGCAGCTCTTCTTGCTCATGTCAGAAAGGGTCAAGTCTGTACATCAAGGTAGGAAGAGGACCAATTACAATGCCTTAATGGCATAGTCCTTGGCATGGAGATTGTAATGCATTTCTTTTCTGCCCTTTGTCTTATTAGTAAAACCTCCAACTTAATTCCTACTGTCAGTACTCCTTCCAGGATCTAGCACTTCAGTGTTTCCACTTTTTCTTTGATAGAGAAGATACTCAGCCTCTTCTCTGTTAAGGAACTCTGAATGTCTTACCTACTTCTTCCCAGACACAAGGGTATGCAGGAAACTAGGAAGTCTTGTAAAGGAAATCACAGGCATAAGTGACTAGGTGCGAATATCAGGCTTCCTAGTAATGCCTCCAGTAGAGGTAAACTGTTTCAAAGATGTGAATTTGTTCTAAAGAATTATAAGAATTCACTGGGCATTGGTGGCTCATGCCCTCTGCTTTTACTCTGCAAAGGTTATGACACAAGAAAACTAAGTATGTTGATATGCCCTGAAATAAAACACTGATCATATTCCAACATTAATATATACATAGTTATTAGTATGATTCAAAAGTTCAATAATTTTATAGGCATGTGTGAGAATATTATTCCCACAGGGAAACAAGTTCAAACAATAAACCTACATTGAAAGAATAAGCTCAGAAGTTTTCACCATCTGTAACAGAATCACTGTCAAATACAACTTACAGGGCTGGGAAGGGGGCTCAGTGGTAGAGCGCTTGCCTTGCATGCCTGAGGACCTGGGTTCAACTTCTCAGCACCACATAAGCAAAAAGAAAAAAGCTCGAAATGGTGCTGTAGCACTTGAGCTAGAGCACTAGCCTTGAACTGAAGAGCTGAGGGACAGCACCCAGGCCCAGAGTTCAGGCCCCATGACTGGACCCCCCCAAAAAAAATATAACTTACATTCTTTTGAAAAAAGCCTCTTTCTTTTACCCTGTCCACCTTCTGCACCTCCTCCAATTTCTTCATTCTCCTCCTCAAACTAGAAATTAAAAATACACAGAAACGTTGTGATTCCACTGCATTTGATATTCTATTAACTCCTCTTCTCCCTCCCCCTCCACTGGTAACAGGCTAAAAAAGTCTAGGGCAAGCAGCAAATAATCATGAAATCTTAGCGATGAACGAGCCTTAGAGACTGTAGTTAGTCCTGGTGGTTTTAGTAGTTTATTTTTAGCCAACTACGATGTCTTATTTTGACAATATCCCTCTCAGGAGATGATACTGAATCAAAGTAAGTTAAACATTTACAGCTTATACAGTACTAAAGACTTTTAAGCAAGCACGGATCCTATTTTATGACTAAGAAAACCGATTGCAAAATTAAAATAACTGCCTCTGAGAGAAATGAGAATTTGGTTACCTGTCCATCGGTTTTTCCACCCCCTTCAAAGTGAGTTTAGTTGGGTAAATAGTTGGGCTTCTGGTTCATGAGTGCTAGCAAACACTAGCTTTGGCTTCTGACGCTTCTCTAGGCAGCTCAAAGGATGTGTGACAAATGCGGACCAACACCAAGGGCAAAGGAGCCAGCTTCCTGTCTTCCCCTTGGTCCGCCCCCCCCCCAACCCCGAACTAAGATTATAGACTTGAAGGGAGAGGGAAGTACAGCGAAGCCCCCAACTCTCCCGGTTGAATTCACTGAATGCTCTGTCCTTCCTCCGCTACTGAATCTGAATTAGTGAAGAAAACAGGGCTGGGGATACAGGCTGTCACTCACGGTGGGGTCTTCCTCTTCATCTGCCATTCTGGAAGACCGCCGAACGTCAAGCTACAGACCCGCGCCGGCTCTCTCCCAGCTGGCGCTACGACTTCCCTTATGTCACATCCGGTGATGGGCGGGGCTGGCAAGGGCCTGCTGGCCAATGACGAGAGGCGGGCGGGGTTGCGCCAACGCATGCGCGGATGTGCTGCGTGCGCTCCAAGACTCGGGGGGCCGAAAGAGCGGAGAACGAATTGTTAAGGAGCCCGGCGCTGGTGACTCACGCCTGTAATCTAGCTACTCCGGAGGCTGATCCGAGGATCGAAGTTGGAAGCCAGTCCAGGCAGAAAAGTCCGTGAAACTATAATTTCCTCTTAACCACTCAAAAGTCGTAAATGGAGCTGGAGCTGTATTTTTTTTTTTTTTTTGCTCAAGGCCTTAGCCTTGAGAAAACAAAAACCCACAACACCACACACACGCACACACACACACTCACACACACCCCAGAGGAAAAGAGCCCAGGACCCGCATTCAAGCCCCAGTGCAAGCACAAAGTTTTTTTTTTTTAATTAAAATAAGAAAAAAAACCCAGGCTAGTTGAAACCCTAAATTAGCTGGGTGTTATTATTATTGTCATGGGGCTTAAATTTAGGGCCTGGGCGCTGTCCCTAAGCTCTTTTGCACAAGGCTAGCACAAGCCACAGCTCCAATTCCCCCTTTTTTTGGTGGTTAATTGAAGATTTGAGTCCCACATTTTCCTTCCCTGGCTGACTTCAAACAGCAATCCTCACATTTTAGCTTCCTGAGAAGGATTACAGACATAACCACTGGCCCCCAGCCAGAAGATGGCAGTTCTAAGCTGTCTGAAAGAGTTCCAACATTTCTTTTCATTTTTCACTTTCTACCATTATTCTCTGAGTATTTTTCTCTTTTATTAGTATCTTCAAGCAGTTGAATAAAGGGGTTTCAATTTAGCATGCCTATTTATGTTCGTATGTGTATATATATGGCTTATCTTTGTCAAGTAAAGCTTAAACTTTCTGAAAATAGAGTCTGTTTCCCATTCAACTTTGAGCTCTCAAATAAGGTTAGCACATTCCTGAGCCTTAGAAGTCTCTGGAACAAATATTTGTGGTATAAATTAATGCCTGTTTGACATCCCTTTTCAAATGTGTTGTAATTCAAATGAGGCGATTGTCGATCGCTGTGCCTTCAAGACTAAACTTATTCTTTGGTTCAACCAGAATGCCATAGTCACGGTTCTGAGACTGATCAGTGTTCACCACAATGACTGCAACCACCCTAACAAACAGGCCACTGTTCTTGACTGACAGGCGTTTGGCAACAACTGCCCAATTCCTCACTGTAGGCTGAAATGAACGCAGGAAGGATTGTCTGAATTGTGAGTCTCCAGCTCAGTGGGGCTCTATTTATTCCACACAGTTGTGCTCCAAGAGCCAGTGACCCAAGCTTTGGCCTGCTTTGAGAAATGCCTTCAGGAGATGGAGGGCAGGGAGGTTCTGGGACTTTAGTGGGATAGAAATGTCAGTGTTAGCCACTAAATAATCAAAGATCAGTATCAGTGCAGTGCAAAACATAGAAATTTGAGGCAATGTGATAACAAGTTAAGGAGAGTTTTGAAGTAAGACACATTTAGCTGTGGATCCAAATAGCTACAGGATTTCACCCATCTCTCTTTGAGCCTCTCATTTTATTTTTTCATTTTAAAAAATGTTCTGGGAAGCTGGCTGGTATTTGTAATCCTAAGTACTCAGGAGGTTGAGATCTGAGGATCATGGTTCAAAGCCAGCCCAGGCAGGAAAGTCTGCAAAATTCTTATCTCCAATTTACCACTAAGAAAACAGGAAGTGGCGCTGTGGCTCATGTGGTACAACACTAGCCTTGAGCTGAATTGCTGGGGGACAGTGCCCAGGCCCAGAGTTCAAGCCCCACAACTCACAAAAAAATGTTCTGGGGTTGGAGACATGGTTTGGTTGGTAGAGCACTATCCAGTGAGCAAGAGCATCTGGTACCTAGTTCAATTCCTAGTCTCGAAACCATGCCCCTCCCCCCAAAAAATGTTTTAAACTGGGTGCGTCAGCTTATGCTTGTAATCCTAGCTACTGAAGAGGCTGAGGTCTGAGGATTGTGATGTAAAGCTAGCCTGGGCAGGAAAATCCATGAGTCTTGTCTCCAATAAACTATCAAAAAAGGCTGGAAGTAGAGTTGTGCTTCAAGTGGTAGAACACTAACATTTAATTTAAAAAAAAAGCTCAGTGACAACACCTAAGCTCTGAGTTTAAGCCCTAGGATATACCATTTTTGTGGGGGTTGGGAACACTAGCCAATGAGTAAGAGCATCAGGTACCTAGTTCTAGTCACAATCTCAAAACCAAAAAAAGACAAGGTGTTAAAAATATTTTACAAACTCAAAGATAACGTCTTTACATACACAAAGTATTTTATTATGAATTCTGTATTATGAACATAATATATTCTATTTAAAATGTATTTGTTTATTTTTGGGGGTCTGGTCATGGGGCCTGAACTCTGGGCCTGGGTGCTGTTCCTCAGCTCTTCAGCTCAAGGCTAGCACTTTACCACTTGAGCCACAGTGCCACTTCTGGCTTTTTTTTTCTGCTTATGTGGTGCTGAGGAATCGAACCCAGGACCTCATACATGCAAGGCAAGCACTCTACCACTGAGCCAACTTCCCAGCCCCTTAAAATTTGTTTATTCAGCTATGTTACTCAACATATTTTGTTCTTTGAGGGCAGGTACTTTTTGCACTTTTTTTTTTTTTTTTGTCGGTCATGGGGCTTGAATTCTGGGCCTGGGCGCTGTCCCTGAGCTCTTCAGCTCAAGGTTAGTGCTCTACCATTTGAGCTGCAGAGCCCACTTCTGGCTTTTTTCTGTGTATGTGGTACTGAGGAATGGAACCCAGGGCCTCATGCATGTGAGGCAAGTGCTCTACCACTGAGCCACCTTCCCACCCCCTTTTTGCACTTTTTTCCCCCCTGCGACATCTAACAAGTTCCCAGTATATGGCAGACAAATATGTGGTACTGAGGAATCAAACCCAGGGCCTCATGCATGCAAGGCAAGCGCTCTACCGCTGAGCTACCTTCCCAGCCCTCATTGAACATTTTTTTAAGTTTAGAACTTTGTTGTCTCTTCGAATATCAAATTATAAACTCTTTATTAAGGTGATAAATGAAACCACAGAGCAGAATTAGTCACCAACAGTGTGATAATGAGAAAAATGATGTGTCTTCAAAATATCTTCATTTAGGTAGAACAAGAATAAAGAACAATTTACACAATATTCATGAAATAGAAACTGGGTGCTAATGGCTCACGCCTATAATCCTAGCTACTCAGGAGGATGAGAGCTGAGGATCACAGATCAAAGCCAGCCTAAGCAGAAAACTCAGCAAGACTTCATCTCCAATTAATCAGCAAGAAAGCTGGATTAGCTGGGTGCCAGTGGCTCACCCCTATAATCTTAGCTACTCAGGAGGCTGAGATCAGAGGATGGCAGTTCAATGCTAGTCCAGGCAGGAAGGTCCCTGAGACTCTTATCTCCAATTAATCCCTAGAAAACTGGAGGTATCCCTGTGGCTCAAAGTCGAAGCGTACTAGCTCAGAGTGAAAAAGCTTAGGGACAGCACCCTGGCCCTGAGTTCAAGCCCCATGACTAGACAAAAAAAAAAAAAAAGCTGGACTTGAGATGTAGTTTAAGTGGTAGAGCACTGATGGCAAGCTGAAAAAGCAGAGTGAAAGTGCAAGGCTCTGAACTCAACCGCCTCCTCAATTTCTTAAGACCGAGATGACCTTTGTGATTCAGTATAAAGTAGTAAACATGAATTTGCTTAGGAGCTTATTAGAATGGTTTGGGGTTTGCAAGAACTGGAAACTCAGTTGCTAGTGATGGTGAAACACTGCTGCTGTCCTCAATGACAGCTGGCCTGGGGATCTAGCCCAATGGTAAAGTACGTGCTCAGCATCTGCAAGACTCTGGGTTTGATCCCTAGCACTAGGGGAAGAAAAAGTAAACAGATAATCGTTTATAACAGGCCTAGACAACATGGATTTTTATTCCTTTGGTTTTCTTTCTTTTTTTTCTTTTTGTCTTGAGACAGGATCTGCTGTGTAACCCAAGCTAGTCTTGAACTTCTGGCCTCGAACTCACAAGCCTCTTGCCTCAGCAGAGTAATCCTGAGCAATTCTTTTGAGTGGAAGAGGGATTTGCCTGTGAGTATGTGTGTGCATTTATAATCTGAGTGGTTGTCTGGTCTAAAGATTTTTGTCTCATACATATATTTCTATTTTGTTGGCTTCTGCATTTAAGTATATTTTCTCAAAGGGGTCTGTCCTGCATCAGACCTTTTTGACTGATCTATCTTCCAGGAGCAGCTCAGACAGCTTTTTCTTTTCTAAGTAATCAAACAGTCCACAGCCAGAAGAGGGCAGTGCAGCAGAGATAAACTGAGTTACTTACGTCTTACATTACCATAGTGGATGGGTAATTTGGCAATTTCAAACTCCTAGAACTCAATGTCACACTTTCATCCAAACCCTAATAAAGCAGACCAAGTTGTATACAATTAAAGATTTCAGTTTACAAAATAGAATTTGTAGCTGTGTCTTCTCCACCCTACTCGTCATTAGATTCATAATTTCTCTTTTTTTGGGGGGGGGGTAGGGGGAGGATGCCACTGTCCGGGAGTTTTTTCACTCAATGCTAGCACTCTACCACTTAAGCCCCATCTTCACTTCTGGATTTTTGCTGTTTCATTGGAGATAAGAGCCTCATGGACTTTCTTGCCCCGGCTGATTTTGAACTGTTATCCTCAGACTTCAGTCTCCTGAGTAACTAGGATTACAGGTGAAAGCCACTGGAGACCAGCCTAAGTTGATATTGTCTTAAGTCACCTTGTCAGAAGTGTCTTCAGAAAAAGCACTGTCCAGATATGGCAGGTTTCTGGCTGAAGTGCCTTAGGTGACCCCAGCATGATTTAAATATAGAAGAAAATTGAAACTATCCTGATAGTTTAAGAAAACGAAAAAAAAGCCATTCAAAGAATCAGGCAATAATCATAATGTTTCCCTTAGCAGGGAATGTAAGGATCTGAAATTTAAGGGTCTGAAAACTGTGCTTTTAGTTAAATCCTTATTCATTCTGAAAGTTCATTCACAGCAAGAGAAAGAGCCATACAGGACACTCCCAGAGCCTCTAAGTGATACCGTTGCTTTTCCCTCCTCAACCAATAGCTTCACTTATTACTGAACTCAACTAAGGCAGAGCATGGAAAAGAAGACATGGAAAAGATGTCCAATTATCCACATAGTGGTGACATTTCCGATTTGTTCTGATAGGATGATAATGACAGTGCTATAGCATAAATCTGTGTTCTGCCTCATATGGAATTCCTTAAGACTCAGCTTTGTTCTTCAGTATGTTCTCTTGGCATTGTATCTGATTTTAGCACCTGAACCTATTGGGAAATAGGCCAGTTCTGCTTTTTATCTTGGACAGAAATGGGCTTTATTCTGAAGGTCTGGGGTGGGGGATGGAGTCAACTATGGACAATGCCTGATTCTTGAGCCCTGGTGTTGCTACTCTCTTTATTAAAAAAATTTATCAAGGTTACAGTTAAATAAGTAAGGAAGTGAGTATATTTCTTGTCGAAATTGTTACCCCCTCCTACATTTTCTCCCACTCTCCCCCTCAAGTTGTACAGATCATTTCCAACGAATTGTCTTGTGAGTATCATTGTTGCATTGGTTCCCCCTTTGTCCTTTGTCTCAACTTTTTTTTTTTTTAGTTCCCCTTCCCTTTCCTAATTCAGATAAATGTATATACAATACCCAGGGCACCAAAATCAAATACAGTGACAACAGGGGATAAACCATAGCGGGGGAAACACAAAAGAAATCAGAAGCGAGGAATCCATGGAGCATTCCTCAATGTAATAAAGGCTGTGTATGACAAATCTACAGCCAGCATTATACTCACTGGCGAAAAGCTAAAGCCAGTTCCTCTAAATTCAGGAAAGAGACAAGGACGTCCGCTCTCTCCACTCCTCTTCAATACAGTATTAAAATATCTAGCTAGAGCAATAAGACAAGGGATCCAAATAGGGAAAGAGGAAGCAAGATTCTCCTGCTCTTCTTAAATGGAAGCCCGAGATGACCAACCCTCTGCGAGGCAGGTGGACTGTTGATTGCAAACCCATACACGTCCAGTGCAGTAAACCCCAAGCTTTACTTTTTCCAATACACGGGGCACCGCCAGGTCAAATCCCAGCACTGGCTCTATAAGGAGCCTCGGTGGAGACCACCGCCCAGCAAGCTTCAACAGTCTAAGCTCTCCTCGCCCTACGTCAGCTCGCAAGCAGCCTCCACGCAAGCCCCTCCTCCAGTTCGGCGATCCGCTTACGATGCCTGCTTGCGTTCGGCTCTCGCCTCTCTGTCCTTGCGCTTGCGCATTACGGCTCCTGCCTGTAGCTTCGGCGGGATCGGGAAGTGTCAAGCGGGAGCCGGGTGTCCCCGCCTTCGCCGCTCCCGCCGCCGAACTCGGGGACCCTTCCCCAGGCCGGGCCCAGCCGCCATGACTAACGGTGAGACCCCAGGGCTTGAAGCGAATGGTGGGAGGAAAGGAGCGGGAGGGGTGGGGGAACGTGGCGGGAGGAGCCCGGACTGACGTGGCCGCTCTCCCCGCCCCCTCCCAGCCCGGCCCCCCTGGGCCTCCGGGCGACCTGAACTCTTAGCAGGTATCTCCCCCTGCGGCGCCCCGAACTCCTGTCTGCTAGTCACCCTTGCAGGGTCTGCACCTCGACGTTTGATCGCTACTCCCTGGCCTTCTCTTTCCATTCCTAGAAGTTCGTCCTGACCCTTGGGGTAGCCAGGCACCCTAGAACTAGTGCTGGTTGGCCTCAGGGAGGAGGAGAGTCTTCTCCTCCCGGCCTCCAACATGCTCATTGCTTTGGACCGGGAAATCACCGAGGATGCTAAAGCCTACCTTGGGAGGGGATGGTAAATGTAAACCTCTCCTCAATTTCCAGAAGCCTTCTTTTCTCTCTCTCTCTCTCTCATGTTTGTACGTGTGTGTCATTCTAGAAAGCCTCTTTGAATCTAAGGTCCTAGCAGGATGATCCCATCCGGAGCTCCTGGCTGCTACAGCCAAGAATGAAATTAGACGTTGCCTTTTCTAAACAATGTAGCAGGCTGTACCAAGTACTTCATCAAATACTTCATAGTGGGTTGTTTGGTTTTTTTTTTTTTTGGTAGTTGTTTGTTTCTGAATTCCTGGGAAGGGTAGGAAGCAGCACCTTTATGGTTTTGAGAGTCGGTCTTACAGGATAGAAGACAAAGACTTTTAGGCAATATAGTTTGAGGGGCACAGGAATGTTTTTGTCCAAAGTACCTTGTCCATACCTCTGGCACCGAAGATCCAAATTTCCCTGTGAGAATTTTGGTATTTTTCTAAAAAGAAGACTTAGAAGAGAAAGAGTAGCACAGAAAGGTATTATTCTTTATAAAAACTTACTGTATCTATCTCTGAGAGTAAAACTCTCAGAAGAGGTAGTGTTGTCCCAAAGACAGTTATTGATTAGATCAATGACTATTTGGAGCTTCCTGAGTAGTCTTAGATCTCACGATACTACATATATTACTCAGAAGAAGAATATAATTTTGAGAAATAAAAGAGCATTTTAGTAATTTCTGAATAAATTTTGTCTCTAGTCAATCATTTTGTGTACTTGTATAACTACTTAATGATATAGTAATGTTTTATATATGTAAGTTCAAGCTGAGCACCAGTGGATCAGGCCTCTATTGCTGAGATATGAGGATTAAGGTTCATTTCCAGCCTAGGCAGATAGACCCAAGAGACTTACCTCCGGTTAGCCAACATAAAGCCTGAAGTGTAAGCCAGACTTGAGGAAAAACGTGAAGCTAAAGTGTGAGGCCTTGAGTTCAAGCCCCATTACTGGCAAGCCCCATTACTGGCAAAAAAAAAAAAAAAAAAAGGAAAAAAAAAGACTTTAAAACTTTCCACTATGGTTTGGCACTGGTAGCTCACGCCTGTAATCCTAGCTACTCAAGAGGCTGAGATCTGAGGATCACAGTTCAAGCCAGCCCTGCCAGGAAAAGTCCGTGAGACTCTTTAACTTCCAATTAACCGCCAGGAAGCTGGAAGTGGAGAGTTCAAGCTCTGAGACAGACAAAAAAAAAGAAAGAAAGGAAGAAAGGAAGGAAGGAAGGAAGAAAGGAAGGAAAGAAGGAAGGAAGGAAGGAAGGACACTATTATTCTGTCATGTTTGGTTTATCAGTATTCAAAATTCATAAAGTATAAACTAAGCATAGGAAAATTGAAGTCACGAATACTAACTGGTAATTTCCATTGTTTTAGTTCCTTAACATATTCTTAACAGATGCAGGTGTGAAAAACTTGACTAAACATCAAGTTCTCCTTTATAGCTGGAGTGATTAATAACACATTTAGTTCTGAGGAGGGGAGTGAGATGGGGTATTGATATGTAGCTAAGGCTGGCTTTGAACTCCCTATGTAGCCCTAAGTTGACATAGAACTTCTGGTCCTCTGCTTCTTCTCCAAGTGCCAAGATTACAAGTGTGGTTTATTTATGTATTTATTGGTGTGTGTGTTTGTGTGTATTTGTGTATGTGTGTGAGTACTGGGACTTAAACTCAGGAGCCTGGGTCCTGTTCTTTAGCTGTTTTGTTCAAGGCTGGCACTTTACCACTTGAGCTGCAGCTCTATTTCTGGCTTGTAGATGGGTAATTGGAGATAAGAGTCTCATGGTCTTTTCAGCCCAGGCTGGCTTTGAACTGAGATCTTCAGATATCAACCTCCTGAGTAGTTAGGATGTGAGCCATTGGTTCTCTACAAGTGTAGTTTTTGTTGTTGTTCCTTCCTTCCTTCCCTTCCTTCCTTCCCTTCCCTCCCTCCCTCCCTCCCTTCTTTCTTCCTTCCTTCCTTCCTTTCCTTTTCTTTTCTTTTCTTTTTCTGCTGTGGGGCTTGAACTCAGGGCTTGGACACTGTCTCTAAGCCTTTTTGCTCAATGTAGCACTCTACCACTTTGAGCCACAGTACCACCTCTGGATTTCTGGTAATTAATCGGAGATAAGAATCTCACGGACTGGGGGCTGGGAAGGTGGCTCAGTGGTAAAGCGCATGCCTTGCATGCCAGAGGCCCTGGGTTTGATTCCTTAGCACCACATAAGCAAAAAGAAAAAAGCCGGAAGTGGCACTGTGGCTCAAGTGGTAGAGCGCTAGCCTTGAGCTGAAGAGCTGAGGGACAGCGCCCAGGCCCAGAGTTCAGGCCCCATGACCGGACCCAAAAAAACACAAAAACAAACAAACAAAAAAAAACAAAACAAAGAATCTCACGGACTTTCCTGATAGGGCTGGCTTCGAATTGTGATCTTCAGATCTCAGCCCCCAGAGTAGCTAGGATTATAGGCATGAGCCACCAGTGCCCAGCTTGTTTTCTTTTGTAGACAAAAGTCTTGCTAAGTAATGCTCTTGCTGTGGAACCCAAGCTGGCCTCAAATTCATGATCTTCCTGTTTTAGTCCACTGAGTGCTGAGATTATAAGGTGTGCTCCACCTAGCCCTGCTAATGCTTATTTATGCTCAAACAAAAAGATGAACATCTCTTCAGCCTATTGCTTGCACTGGTCATTCCTGGGAGGCTGATTCCACATAAACAAATACACTTTGCTCAGTATTTCTAGTTCTTGAAAGGTGAGAGGAAGGGTCCAATGAAGTTGTAAGGGGGATATCTGCCAGCAATTTGAGGAAAATAAAGTAACATTGTTAGTACTCTGTCAAATGTTGGCACTGCCAGTTGAGGTGGTCATAGTGATACATTCTGTCCTTCCTAGAATTCTCAGCAGGATCACCTATCCTAAACTAGATCAGCACCAAAAGTTTTCTTCTTTTTGTGACAGTATACTCCTTGGATGGGATTCTGGTGTTTGGTTTGCTCTTTGTTTGCACCTGTGCCTACTTCAAGAAAGTACCTCGTCTCAAAACCTGGCTGTTATCAGAGAAGAAAGGAGTTTGGGGTGTGTTTTACAAAGGTAGGTCATGTCTGGGCAGGGAGGGAAGATGTCATCTCTGGACAGTATGCTGTAAACCAGAGATGCAATAGGCTGGGATTGTATTTGGCCCACTTTTAGGGAAAAAAAATCCCTGAGATGGAATCTGAGTATGCAAATGAAGACACGTATCAAGGATCTCAATATAAAATAATCATTTCCAAAATGAAGAGAGGAGGTAAATTGTAAATTTGTTGTTACTTAAAACATAATTGTTGCAGGTGCCAATGACTAAGGTCTGTAATCCTAGCCACTCAGGAAGCTGAGATCTGAGGATCATGGTACCAAGTCAGCCTGGCCCATAAGACTCATATCTCCAATTAACCACCAGAAAGTTGGAAGTGGAGCTGTGGTTCAAGTGGTAGACCACTAGCCTTGAGTAAAAAAGTTCAGTGCCCAGGGCATAGAACAAAAGTATGCAAGTGTTGGATGTGGTGCTACATATCCATAATCTGGGAAGACTGAGGAGGAAATAATCTTTTTTTTTTTGGTCGTGGGGCTTGAACTCTGGGCCTGGGCGCTGTCCCTCAGCAATTCAGCTCAAGGCCAGCACTCTACTACATGAACTACAGTGCCACTTCCAGTTTTCTGAGTGGTTTATCGGAGATAAGAGTCTTCCGGACTTTTCCTGACCGGGCTGGCTTTGAACTGCAGTCCTCAGATCTCAGCCTCCTGAGTAGTTAGGATTACAGGAGTGAGCCAGCTGCACCCGGCTAGGAAATACCTTAAGTTCAAAGCCAGACCCTCTTTCTGAGGGGACCTGAGGGCGTGGCATGTTTATACACAATGAAGTATTTTTAGGTGGGCCTGGAATCCCTTCCCTCAGTGGAAGTAGTATTTTCCAACTGACTTTATCCCCTCAATTTTCTGTAAAGCAAGTATGGGAATCTCTGTTAAGTTACAATTTCATTAACTTAAATGTATTTTTATGTTTTATTTGATCTGGAATCCTCCCTCCCTGAATCCTTTTTCAAAATAGGATAAAATAAAAACAAATGGTATATTTACATAAAACCTAGCCTATAGGGGTAATATTAAAAAAAGATTCCCAGATTCTTTTTATTGTCAAGGTGATGTACAGAGGGTTGCAGTTACATATGTAAGGTAGTGAGTACAGTTCTTCACGAACTTGTTATCCCTTCCTTCCTAGATTCTAGGTAAGTCTCTACTTCTGTAACATCTGTAACACTTGACCTTTTCACAATATCACTTTGAAAGAAAGACTTTTATGAAGGTCAGGATGTAATTTCTTCTCTCTCTATTTTTGTCTGCTAGCTGCTGTGATTGGAACCAGGCTGCATGCTGCAGTGGCAATAGCCTGCATTGTAATGGCCTTCTACGTCCTGTTTATAAAATGAATTCAAAAGTATTCAACTCACCAACTGCCAACCAAGGGGATGGGAGTGAAGAACCTGTCAAAGGCCTGGACCCAGTGTGGGCAAGTTCTGCTAAAATCAATGTCCCCAAGATGACACCATAGCATCTGCCCCTGCCATATCTGGGCAAAATTCTCCATGGTTACAGACATTATTTATGATTCAGGGGACCGGAAAGCCAACTTCCTTTGATCTGTGTGTAAGTCAGTCCTCAGAGGCAAGGATATAGTGTCCAGATAAATTATACCCCCTGGTGATAATATTATATATATCCTTCCTGGTTAAATACTTGTCACTCTACTGGTTGTATCTCTGTGGCAGAGCATTGACCCAGCATACTCAAGGTCTTCGGTTCTATCCCTAGTATTGCAAAAAGAAAACTGAGGCTCATTACAGAAGGACATAGGCTGTGTTCAGGCTTCTTGAAAGGAGAGATTATTTTCAAGACTTGACTTTTCCACTTGATGGCTTGGATTTGGCAATTCTCTTTTTGGTCTCATTGCATAAAGAGAATAGATGAAGCACTTTACCATATGGTCATAGCTTGAGAGTTTCGCTGAGAGAATCTGAGTGTACCTGAAATTTGGGAATTATCTATCTGTAAGGAGACTAGAAAGCAGTGACTGAGAAAACATTTTCTGTTTAACAGTATCCCTGAAAGACTTAATCAAATGGTATATAGAAAAATGAATCAACTTCATTTCCTTAAAGCTTTTTTATATTTTCTAAATTACTTAGTGCTAAATACTATAACTCAGTTTTAAATTCAACCATCAAAGGAAGAAGAAACTATTGAAAATATAATATATTTGCAGTTATGGTAGAAGTGAGTTAGTATATCGATTCATATACTAGTACATTCATCTAGTATAAGAATTTATTGTGATCATAGATGGAATTCTAATGTTATAAAATATACAAGGTTATTCTTTAAGTCTGGGTTATGGCAATTTTTTGGTTGACTACTTGTTTCTCTTGGCCAACTCTTAATCACACTGCAGTATTTTTTTTCATTGTTAGGAAATTCTGTTTATGGAAGAATGTGAGAAATTCAAATGAAACAAGTTGTTGATGTTTATTGGCATGTTTGAACAGTTCACAGAATCCATATTTTCTGAAATAGGAAAGGAAAATAAAGCTTTGTAATTGGGAATGAAGAGTTTTTCATGGTATACCATAACTCCTGACTGAATCATTTTCGATGACTCAGAAAAAAAGGGAACACTTCATTCCCTCCTCTTTATGTCTGCAAAAGTATCAACTGTTGGATTTGTGACACCTAGAACTTCTCTAGTTACGAAAAAAAGGACTAAAATTATTATAATAAGTAAATATAGACATTGATGTTCCAGTTCAGTTGTCCATTACAATAAAATTTAACTGTAGACAAGTTAGCTGTGATTGGTCTTGTATGGCAATAAATTACCTTCTGTCTTTTTATTCCAAAAGAATAAAAGCTGCTTTGAAGTTTAGGTTCAGAAATGCAGCTTAATGCTTATGAGGGTTTCTAAAAGTATAATAAGCCATTAAGTGTCTAATCATCTCAGAGTTGGGGCTATTGCCTCTTCAAGAATTAGTCCATTGGGTAAATTTCAACTATTCATATTTTTTCCATGGCCATTTCTAAGAATCTTTTGCATGAGAGAAAAGAAATCTATTGGAACAGGAAGGAAGAATTAACACCTTGTGGGTGTGAGTTTGGGACTTGTTTGCCATTGGAATCTCAGTCCCTGGAAACAAGTTCAGCATGTTTTGCACTTGTTATTTTGTAGCTTTAATGACTTGTTTTCTAATAGAGCTAAAGTCTCTTTTAAGTTTACTGCTTGGTGCTGCTTCATATTTTAAACTAGTTTCATTCTACAGTCCTAGTTAAAAGCAATTTTTGCAGTTTCTTTGTTGGGTCACCTTGTCCTCAGCTCTTGAGTTGTTAAATTTTTTGAGAAGTTTTAATACCAGAATGTACCAAAAAGTGCACAATGTGCAGGTAATTTATAGCAAGAAGCAGATACACAGCCTATTTCATTTCTTAACTGTATGTTAGCAGGTACATAGAAACTTGCTTAACGCATTACTTTGGTTGGTGTTTTTGGCTGAAAACAATAACTTGTTCCTCAGGAGGAGTGTTTTAGGGGTAGAAATATGAGGATAGCAATATTGCCTCAAATTCAAACTGGCATTACCATAAGCATCATGTACCAGGGTGTAATGAAGTCAGCTTTTTTATAGTTGAAATACAGTTTTTTAAGTTCACCATTGTCTGCACAAATCCTTGAGAATAAAGCCTTTTTCCCTACAGTCTTTGTCTATTTTGTTACATGATGAATTTATTTTTTGTTCAATGCTTGGGTTCTGCCGATAGTCCAATTTTTAATCCATATTAGTGAATACCATTGTACTCACTATGAGGAGTATTGAATGTATGTTATAGGTCAAATTATGGTCAAATTTTCTCCTTTGAGGGAGCTGAATATATTTATTCATATATATGAGTAAACTTAGAAGGGTACTAAATGAGGTAGGTAGCACCATTCAATATACCTATTACTACTTTTATTAAACTACAAATGTTATCTGCCATTATCACTGAGAAACTAATTATTGAACAAAATAATGGGCTTCATTATAACATTTTCATTCATGTACATAGGTAGATAATATACTAATCCTTCATCACACTTTCTTCCATCTTTCTTCTCTAGCTGGTTTCTTACCTCTTCCCAAGGAGTCCCTCTTCTTTCATTAAAAAAATAACAACAACAACAACAAAACACATTTAGATTCCATATGTGAAAGGTAATGATTGTCTGAGTCTGGCTTACTTTGCTCAACATGATCAGTTCCAAGCAATGCAATGGTTCAATGAGGTGGTAAGACTAACCAGCCTAAAAAAATCTCAGTGGGGTTCTGTTGCTATATTCACTGTTTACTCTAGGTACCTGGATGGACTAGTACAAATTATTATGTCTGCATCTACTAGCATAAATACAAATTAACTTCATATATCATGTTCTATTAATCTTCCTTTTGCTTTATCTCACCTATTTCATTGAAAAGCTGAGAAGTTGTGTTTTCTAATGGGAGAAGTGGCCATTCTACTTAAATAATCACCACTTTTTACTTGCGGAATTTGAGTCAGAATAGGATGATGCTCTAATTAGTAATGGCCTAGGACTACTGTGTCGATAGAAGAGTCATTCATCTATAAACTTAAAATATCCTGAACTTGGATACTTTGACATTTAAGTCGGATAAAATTAGTCAGGATCAAAGATAACGCTACAAATGAGTCAGTCTATAAATATGCAAGATTATGCAAATAAACACAAAGATCAAAAGAGCTGCCATTCCCTATGTATGGTGAAAAAACAAATCAATCCTTCTCTAGGTCCTCCCAGCCACGCGAGGGCAGCAGCGCGCGTCTGGGAATGATTGGGCCGTGAGGGCGGGGCCTGTCTGTCTGCTGCGGTTCCTCCCAGAATTCCTCGAGGCTGGGACGGAGGCCTTAAAAGCCAGTGCGGACTTCCGTCGCTCCGCGGGAGGGAGCGTGGCTGGGCTGGTGTGCGTTTGTGTGTATATGTGTGTGAGAGTGGTTGTGCGTGGAAGGTGCGTGCGTGCCGAGTGTGAGTGGACGCGTGGGAGCGCGCGTGCGCCCGCCCCTCTCCCCGCGCCTACACCTTGATCTTATTTGATCGGGCCGCGCCCTCCGCCCCGCCGGGCCGCCCCGAGATGAAAAGGCCCCCCTTCCGCGAAGCCCCCTCCGGGCGGGCGCTGTGCGGCAGGCCTCGGGGCGGGGCGGCGCCGCGGCTCGGGCCGCCTGGGCCTTCGGGCGCGGCGCTCAGAAGTGATGAATTGATCAGATAGACGAGGCCGGGCCTGGCCCGCGCCGCTGATTACCGATGCGATTCTGATCTGAGCCCGCCTCGGCCACCACCGCACTTGCACTCGGGGTGGAAAGCCCGTTAGCCGTCGGGGGTCGCTTGTTGAGGCCTGGGCAAGCAGATGCCCGGGGCATTGGAGCCCCTTCCACCCCCCTCTCGCTGGGAGGTGCGGAAACCCAGCTCCCGCCGCTGGTTTTCTTTCTTCTGGCTTCCTTCCCCCCAATCCTCAATCCTCCAGATCTCAGATTTCTGGGTAGCTAGGATTACAAGTGTGAGCCACCTGTGCCAGGATCCTAGTGTTTTTCACATACGTTATTGTTGTCTTTAGTCACCCGACTGCAATAAAATGTCACATTTTAATTGCTCCTGACTTGATAGCACAGTTGGAGCAATCTCTCCACAGTCCTCCAAACTCCACTCTTCTCCCCAACCTCTGGTAATAGCTTTTTTTTTTTTTTTAATTTGGTGCTGGTTTAACTTGCTCTAGATTTGCTTTTTCGCTCAAGGCTGGTGCTCTACCATTTAAATCACAGCACCACTTCTGGCTTTTTGCTGGTTAGTTGGGAATAACACGAATGGAAGGAGGAAAGGTGGACAAATGCAGTCTTATTCAATGTACATTATGTAAGAAATGAACTTAATGAGGGGAGGAATGGGAGGGTGGAAATGAGGGAGAACAGTGGAAAGGGTGATCTTGACCAAAATGATTCTCAGATCCTCAGATCTCTTCTGAGTAGCTAGGACTACAAATGTGAGCTACTGTTGTCTGGCTCATGCACAAGCTTTGTAATTTTTAACTTACCTGTTTTTGCTTTTGCTTCCTATGTCTGTGTTTAAATTCCTGTCCATTCTAATATCCTGAAGTATGTTCCCATGCTTTCTTCTGGTTTCATAGTTGCAGGTCTTTTAAGCATTTAATTCACATTGAGTTGGTTTTTGTGTGTATCAAAAAATGGAGTCTCATTTCTGTTATACATGTATATATACAGTTTTTCCTATTCCATGTGTTTATGCTGCACTTTCCTTAAGGTGTTTCCTTAACATCTTTATTGAAGGTTGGTTGTAGATGTGTGGGTTTATTTTTAGGCTCTTTATTCCATTAGTTTGTCTCTGATTTTTATGCTAATCTCAATCTGACTTGATTACTATAATTTTATAGTATATATGTACATATATATATATATATATATATATTTTTTTTTTTTTTTTTTTTTTTTTTTTTTTTTGGTCAGTTGTGGGGCTTGAACTCTGGGCCTGGGCGCTGTACCTCAGCCCTTCAGCTCAAGGCTAGCACTCTACCACTGGAGCCACAGCAACTCTCCTGGCTTTTTCTGCTTATGTGATGCTGAGGAATCGAACCCAGGGCCTCATGCATACAAGGCAAGCACTCTACCACTGAGCCACCTTCCAGCCCTATTTTTTTTTTTTTGTCAGTCATGGGGCTTGAACTCTGGGCTTGGACACTATGCTTGTGCTCTTCAGCTCAAGGGGAGCGCTCTACCACTTGAGCCACAGCACTACTTCTGGTTTTCTAGTGGTTAATTGGAGATAAGAGTCTCTCGGACTTTTCTGCCTGGGCTGGCTTTGAACCGTGATCCTCAGATCTCAGTCTCCTTTGTAGCTAAGATTATAGGCGTGAGCCACTGGCACCTAGCTTATAGTATATTTTGAAGTCTAGTATATATAATGCCTCCTGGTTTGTTTTGTTTTAACTAAATATTGTGGCTATTGGGGTATTTTGCAATTCAATATGAACCTTAGAGGGTTTTTTTGTTTGTTTGTTTTTGCTCATTGGTGGGGCCTGACCTGGGGCTGGGTGCTGTCGCTCAGCAATTCAGCTCAAGGCAAGCACTACCACTGAGCCTCCCTCCCAGCCCTCTTAGAGGTTTGTTGTTGTTTGTTTTGTCAAGGTGAGTGCTCTACCATTTGGGTCACAGCGCCACTTCTGGTTTTCATGTGGTAAATTTAAGATGAGTCTCACATACTTTCCTGCCTCGCCTGGCTTTGAACCATGATCCTCAGATCTCAGCCTTCTGAGTAGCTAGGATTACAGGTGTGAGCCATCAGCACCTGGCTGAATCCTTAAGAGTTTTTTTTAGAGTTGTGTGAAGAATGTTACTCATTTTATGAAGAAATGCCATTAAATCTGTAGTTTACTTTGTGCGTTTTGGCAATATCCTTCCAGTTTGTGAACAGAACAGTAAATGATCAAGAAAACTGAGTCAATAAGCAAATAAAAGAATGAAACAATCCCTGAGCAATGTTTGTTTCTGTGTGTGTGAGAGAGAGAGAAAGAGAGAGAGAGAATGCTTTTCAATTTCTTTTATCCATGTATATTTTCAGTGTAGGCCAGTTTCATCTTATGGGTTAAATTTATTTCTACATTTTCTTGTTCTTTTGCTGCTATTGAAAATAGGATAGTTTTGATTTCTTCCCAGATAGCTCTCTATTGACATAAAAGTAGTCCTTGGGCAGCCGAGCACTTGGTGGCTCACGCCTGTAATCCTAGCTACTCAGGAGGCTGAGATCTGAGGATCGCAGTTCAAAGCCAGCCTGGGCAGGAAAGTCCGTGAGAGTCTTATCTCCAATAACCACTTGAAAACCAGAAGTGGCACTGTGGCTCAAGTGGTAAAGTGCTCTCCTTGAATTGAAGAGCGCAGGGACGGCGCCCAGGCCCAGAGTTCAAGCCCCACGACTGACCAAAAAAAAAAAGAGTAGTCCTTAGGCTTGAACTCAGGACCTCATTGTATCAGCTTTTTTACTCAAGACTTGAACCACAGCTCCAGCACTACTTCTGGCTTTGTGCTGATTAATTGGAGATAAGTCTCAGGCTAGCTTGGAACCTTGATCCTCAGATTTCAGCCTCTAGAGTAGCTAGAATTATAGGCAAGAGCAATGGTTGCTGGCTTATCCAGTCTTTTATGTCAGCAGGTTCCAGTGAGTGACTTATTTTGTCTTTTTAAAATTTTATTTGTTTATGCAGTACTAAGGAATCAAACCCAGGGCTTCATTCATGCTAGACAGGCACTCTACCACAAAGCCATGTTCCTAGCCCAACTTATTTTTATAAATAATGTCAGCTCATGAATTAAAAGTTAGCCAAAAAGACAAGGATTTAAGACAGAAAAGCACTGCTTTTGGCAGGGCACAAATATTTGCATGTATTCCAATCATACAAAGCCATCCACTCAATACTGTTGCAAACCTTTATGTACCAGGCACTGGAAGCATTGGGCAAGAAATGTCTATGGTCCATTCATTTAGCTTTTTTTTTTTTGGTCTGGTCGTGGGGTCTGAAATCTGGGCCTGGGTGCTATCCCTCAGCTCTTCAGCTCAAGGCTAGTGCTCTAGCACTTGAGCTACAATGCCACTTCCGGTTCTCTGGTGGTTATTTTGGAGATAAGAGTTTCACGGACTTTCCTGCCCGGGCTGGCTTTGAACTGCAATCCTCAGATCTCAGCCTCCTGAGCAGCTAGGATTACAGGCGTGAACCACAGGTGCCCGGCTTCATTTAGCTTTTTGACACTGTAACATGCTAAAGACATGATGAATAGATTTCAGACTGGGCTCTATCTACTCTTCTTTGAGGGCTATTTCTCCAGCACTACTTCAATTTGCAAATGTCCCCAATAGGACATAAAGTTGGGAAATCTTCATGCCATATTTTAAGAGTGAACAAGAAAGAACTCAGACTGGTTATGCTGCTTCTTGAACAAACCTATTTAATGGAAGTGTGTGTCTGCATGTTCTGTGATTAGTTCAGGAGCTTGTCACCACTAGGTAGAGAAGAAGCCACCATCATTCTTTCGGGAGTAACCTCCATTGGTGGCTGCAGTGTGAGGGGACACTGGAGAGGAGAGAAATGTGGGTGAGCTGGGAATTCCAAATCCTTTTCTCTTCGTGGAATTCTTTAATCACCCATACATTTATGGGTACTGGGAGGATTCTCCTTACCGCTGAGAAAATTTGAAATATGGAGGACTGATAGGAACTTCTAAGCTTCTGCCCTGCCAGAAATGTCATCTAGGGCCCAAGACTCTAAAAATTTGAATTAATTTTCTAGCCCTGTGGTCAACATGTTCCCTGGTATTTGTCAGATAGGTGTCAACTTAATCACTACTTTCCAAGACCTTCAGTAATCCATGCTCTCCCCATCCAGTCAGTGACATTAAGTATCTGATTCCTTTCATTCAGAAAAACTCCTGTACTATCCCATCTGCCCACTTGAGTCTCACCGATGGCTCCCTGGATACTATGGATGGACTCCTTCTGAGGGTTGACCCAGTGTCTGATGTTACCTAGGGAAGTGGAGGTGGGTTGAGGAGGAAGAGGTAAACATTCTCCAGGCAACTGGCTCTTGCTTCTAGAAGATGGTGAGGGGAAGAACAGAGAAAATGTAATCAATTGGAGGAGAAGGGTGAAGCAAAGATAAAATTGTATGAGACCTGAAAAGTAAAGCAGCCATTCAGACTATGTGGTGCATACCTATAATCCAACCCACAGGAAGTTTAAACTGGAGGATTGTGAATTTTAGGCTAGTCTGGGCTATATAGTGAGATCCTGTTTCAAAAAATAAAAATACCAAAAACGTAAAGGAGGCAAAGGTGTCTTTACAAAGGTGCCTAATGCAGATAAGCATAAAATTGGAGATTTTTTTCCATTCATTTTAGATAGTTAAAATAGAGAAATTAGGGCTGAGGATGTAGCTCAGTATTAAAGCACTTGTCCAACTTGCACAAGGCCCTGGATTTGAACCCCAGCACCATTTAATTTCCAAAAATTATATTAGAAATATAAACATGAAACTACAGAAATGGCCATATACATTGATACCTATTTTGGCTTTTGTTTTGTGTCAGTCCTGGGGCTTGAACTCAGGGCCTGGGTGCTGTCCATGAGCTTTTTTTTTTCTTTCTCAAAGCTAGTGCTCCACCACCACTTTCTTGAGTCACAGCTCCACTTCTGAGGTTTCCATGATAAATTGAAAATAAGAGTCTCACAGACTATGCTGCCCAGGCTGGCTTTGAACTATAATCCCTAGCTCTCAGCCTCTTGAGTATTTAGGATTACAGGCATAAGCCACCAGTGCCTGGCACATTGGTGACTATAGATTGATACTTTCAGGTGTCATTTACCTCCTTTGATTAGATGGCTGAATTATCAGGGTGGAGAGGCCCTGCCTCTTCCACTTACCCTTTGGGATCCTGGCTGCTTTCCTTGTGGAACAGTATCTCTGTTTTATTCTTGAATAGTCCAGTGTGGTGGTTGTACAAAGTTGATAAGCGGAAATCCAGATCATCCTTTGGTATCTACAGTGGAAGTTAGTCCTCTCCTGAATTAACCTGGCCACCTGTCCTCCTACTCAAGTCCTATTGGGTTCTACTGTTCCCCAGAAATATAGTCAAATTCACCTGAAATCCACCAATTCCTTAATAAAATGGACATAATAAAGACTTAATTATTGTCCATGGAATTCTCTCTTCTAGTTAGGTTTAAGGAGTATGAATTCTCACTAGAGGCATGGCAATACTGTCCACTGACCTGGGCTTAAGGAACTTTACCTTGTTCTCAAAAACATTTAGCTTTTGTTTTTTTTTTTTTTTTGGTCCGGTCGTGGGGCCTGAACTCTGGGCCTGGGTGCTGTCCCTCAGCTCTTCAGCTCAAGGCTAGCACTCTACCACTTGAGCCACAGTACCACTTCCGGTTTTTTCTTTTTTGCTTATGTGGTGCTGAGGAATCGAACCCAGGGCCTTGAGCATGCAAGGCAAGCGCTCTACCACTGAGCCAACTTCCCAGCCCTAGCTTTTGTTTTAATAAAAAGATTTAATAAAAAAATTTGAATAAAAAAAGTTTTCTCTAGATTACTTCTTGGAACAAAACCCAAGCCTTGTAACTTGAAAAAGTTGTTTGAGATTTGGTAAGATCTTGGATCTGAGACAGAAAGAAAGATGCTGAAGTGTGGCAGACATCTTTTTTAAAAAGGATATTAGGGCTGGGAAGGCGGCTCAGTGGTAGAGCGCTTGCCTTGCATGCATGAGGCCCTGGGTTCGATTCCTCAGCACCACATAAGGGGGAAAAAGCCGGAAGTGGCACTGTGGCTCAAGTGGTAGAGTGCTAGCCTTGAGCTGAAGAGCTGAGGGGACAGCGCCCAGGCCCAGAGTTCAGGCCCCATGACCGGACCAAAAAAAATAAATAAAAATAAAAAGGATATTAAAGCTTGCCGGGCATTGGTGGCTCACACCTGTAATCCTAACTACTCAGGAGGCTGAGATCTGAGGATCACAGTTCAGAAGCCAGTTTAGGCAGAAAAGCCTGTGAGACTCATTTCAAATTAGCTACCAAAAAAGCCAGAAGTTGAGTGATGGCTCCAATGGTAGAGTGTTTGCCTTGGGCACAAAAGCTTAGGGACAGTGCCTAGGCCCTGATTCAAACCCCAGGACTGGCATCAAACAAAACAAGATATTAATGCTGCAGGTGATACGCACTTGTAAACCCAGTACTCTGGAAGAGGAGGCAGAAAGGTCATGAGTTCAAGACTGTGTCCCCAAACAAACCAACCAAAACCATTATTGAGTCCTAAGTAAATGAAAAGGGGCTGCAGGTACCTTGGAACCAAAGGAGGTTAAAGTGGGAGTTACGCTGAGCCGACGCCAGGGTTCCTGTTGCTGAGCCATGTGAGTTGGATTTTTGTAGGGGGATTTCTGCAAAGTAGAAACCACGTCAGGACCTGGTTATTAGAGGTGGTAGTATCAGTGACATCCCACCCTATTCCATCTGTTGTTGTTGTTCTGTGTCGGTTCTGAGGCTTGAACTAAGATCCTGGGCACTGTTCCTGAACTTTTTCTTTTTCCCTCAATAGCACTCAACACAGCTTCACTTCTAGGTTTTGGGGTTAATTGGAGATAAGAGTCCCACTAATTTTACTGCCCAGTCTGGCTTTGAACCAAAGCCTTTCGATCTCAAGCTCCAAGTAGCTAGGATTACAGGTGTGAACCATTGGTGCCTGGCTCCATCCTTTTCTATGTGACCCTCAGAAGGACATCTGAAAAAGAATAATATAGAAGCTTTCTTAGAATTGATAGAAATGAGCCAGAAAACAGGAAGAGGTGGAAGAGGACCGAGGGGTGGAGAGTGTGGTACAATTAGGCAGATGGTAAAACTCAGCTTAAAGGTCTGAGTTTGGAGAAAAGATGAGATTTCTAATACTATTAGTAAGAAGCACATTGGAAGTTTGAGGTGTCAGAGGGGAGCTCAAAACAATTTACATATGTCCACCTGCAGTCATAGTAGGAATCTGAATGAAAAGAGTCTGTCCAATAGGGAATAGCTGTTTGTGAGGGCTGAACAGAATTATATAAGTGAGAGCAAGGAGGGGCCCCTGAGAGGTGACCAGGGACAATGCAAGAGCAGAGTGTCTACGTAGGTCATTCATTGACTGTAGGAATGTCATGAAAAAGTCTATTGGAGCCAGGCACTGATGGCTCATGCATGTAATTCTAGCTACTTAGGAGGCTGAGAGCTAAGGATCACAGTTTAAAGCCAGACTGAGCAGAAAAGTCCGTGAGACTCTTATCTCCAATAAACTACCTCCCCTTCCCCCCAAAAAACTGGAAGTGGATCTTTGGCTCAAGTGGTAGAATGATAGCCTTGAGAAAAAAAATTTAGGGACAGAACCCAGACTCTGAGTTCAAGCCCCAGAACCATAACCCACAAATAAAATAATAATCTGAACATCTTTTCCCCCAAAATCTGCTTCCTTGGGATGCCCATTTCAATGAACAATATATCAATTAAGTCCTCAGAAACCTGGGAGTTACCTTAGATTTGTCCCATCTCTTGGGTCCATATATATATAATTAGACACCAAGTCTGATCAGTCCTGTCTTTCTATCCTCCTCACATTTGTACCTCATTACCATCCCCTAGCTTCTACTGTACATGTATTCTTCTTCTTCAGGATGGCTGCCCCTACCTCCTAGCTGGTCCATCTGGCCCCATTTCAATCCTGTCCAAATCACTACCAGTTGTGATTTCTAAAGCACCCATCCAATTGTGCAATGCCAGCATTTAAAATCCCACCAGATCCCCAAATCTCCAGGATTAAGTCCTAGTTTGCCAGCATGGTGTTCAGTGTACAATCAGCCACCAAAGTCTCTTCTCCAGGAGCGGTCACTCCAAGCCTGCATTTCATACTAAACTTAGCTTTCCTGGGCTACAGAATTTCCCAAGCAGGCTCCCATCTCTCTTTTACATGGATGTACACATGCCTCATTCCTGTTTCTTTCCTCCTAACATCATTCCACTCTCTCCCTCCCTCCCTCAGTTCAGTTTAACTAACGTGTGGAAGTCTAAGCTGTTTTCTAGGATGCTTTCCTTTCCGTTCCTGGTTCTCATGGCACCCTACATAGACTCTGTAGCATGACATCAATGTGAAAACATTTTTATTGTTGCTGGTCTGGTTTTCTTTTCTTTTTTTAGATCTGAGACCAGGACTGACACTTTCATTCATTGGCTAGTGCTCTACCAGCTGAGCCACATCTCCAATCCCTAATCTGTTTTTTTTTTCTACTACAATTCCTTGAGATCAGAAACTCCATCTAATTTATCTATAATTCCTGCATGTTTAGCAGAGTGCCTGGCCTATGATAAACAACAAAATTGAATAAGAGGAAGCTCCTTGATATTATTAGTACACCCAACTTATCATTTAATTCACTTTACTTTGAACCTTTTCAAGTGGCAGAAACACTTCTACAAAAACAAGAGCCATTTAAATTTCCAGGTCACTGCCAGAAATAACACTAAACACACACACACACACACACACACACATTCTGGCATTAACCATAAGATAGTGACATTGTGAAGACAGATACCACAGCCCTCATTCTTTATTCCTGCTGCTTTGAGCTGTGGAGCCTCTTTTTCCTCTACTTCCTTCTGCTGTAAAGCTCCTTAGATGGAAAGGTGGGGACAGGCAGAAAACACTTCTCTGGTGCTGAAATCAGTGACCACACTAAAGACTGTTTTTGTTTTATCATGGTACAGAGGCTTGAACTCAGGATCTTGCACTCTTGCTTGGCTTTTTCCACTCAAAGCTGGCACTCTACCATTAGAACCACAGCGCCATTTCTGGCTTTTTGGTGGTTCATTGGAGATAAGAATCGCACGTTCTTTTCTGCCTGGACTGCCTTCAAACCGCTATCCTCAGCTCTCAGCCTCTTGGGTAGCTTGGATTACAGGTGTTAGCCACCGGGGCCCAATGTTACTGTCTCTTCAGGTCACACCAACAGAAAGGAGACTTCTAGTGAGCCTTTCGGAAATTATTGCGAGAACCCTCAGTAAATCCATGGCTGTAAATCCCTTGGTTCCCAAGTAGGAATTACCTACCGTAGAGGGTTGGAAAGGCTTCTGGGCTAAAGACATGGTTTAAAGGCAAGGCAGCCGCTCCTCGGAGCGGAGAGGTCAACACAGCTACACACGACCTTGTTCCCAGAGGACCTAGGATCCCAATTGTTTGGAACGCCCCGTTTCGGTTGCCAGGCAACTGGCCTCCATCTGTGACTCAGATGAATTCTCTGCAAGAAAGGCAGGGCCTGGCAGTTGGAGGCCTGGCTGGAGGAGGCCGCTGGGGGCCTGCAGAGGAAAAGCACCTGGGGTGCGCCTTCCGGAGTCCCCCCCCTCCCCCGGCAAGCACCCCCTGAGCCTCAGCCTCCCTCTGTACAGCCGCCCTCTACCCAGACTTAGGTTATGGAAAGGAGTCCTAAAAGATGACCCCCAAATTTTCCTTCTTCGCACCTACACAGCAGGCTTCCCCACTAGCTTGGCTATGTCGAGAGATCCAGGAGTGCGCGTCTCTTACTTGGGCAGTTGCCTATTAAAGGCAAACTCTCTGAGGTTGCTCTCAGTTTAGCTATACAAGGGGTAAGGTTGTTCACAGAGACGGTTCTAAAAGCACAGACCAATTTGGCCCGACGGAAGAAAGATCTCCAGAAGCGGCACTGCTAGTAGGTAAAAATGTCCTGGAACTACTTTCCTAGGGGACGAAGTCTAGAGGGTGGCGATGGCGTCTCAATCTTTTATTTATATATGCGTTTTGTGCGACAGTTCTAGGGCTTGAACTCACGGCCTGGGTGCTGTCCCTGAGCCTCCTCCCCGCTCCTCCTTTTTTGTTCAAGGCTAGAGCTCTACCACCCGAGCCACAGTTCCACTGAAGGCTTTTGGGGGTAGTTAGTTGGAGATCAGAGTCTCATGGTCTTTTCTGCCTCACTGGCTTTGAACTATGATCCTCAGATCGCAGTCTCCTGAGTAGCGAGGATTACAGGACTGAGCTACTGGCTTCAGTCTTCTTTGTACAGCTCCATAGGCCACTTTGCAAAATTAAAGATGCTCAAAACTAGCCCTTGGCCCAGAAGGGCAGTAGAAAGTAATGAACTTTGTAGTAATAGCTTGGAGGATGGTACTGGCACTTACCATTATTATTATTATTATTAGATGCCAATTGTGGGACTTGAACTCAGGGCTGGGTGTTGTCCTGATCTCCCCCCCCTCCCCAGTTCAAGGTTAGTTCTCAACCACTTGAGCCACAACTCCACTTCCAGCTTTTTTGGGGTGGGTGGGGGGGCCGTTAATTAGAAATCACAGTCTCCTGCCCAGGCTGGCTTTGAACCTTGATCCCCAAGTCTCAGCCTCCCGAGAGTAGTTTAGGATTTACAGGCGCGAGCCACCAAGGCAGGCTTCCAGCCCACGTTTTAGGCCACGTCCTGCGCTCTCCTCTATTGGGCAGGCTGCGTCCCCGGGCGCGCGCACTCCCACGCCGCGCGCGCCGGCCGTGGCGGCTGCCATGGAAACCGGCAGGTGAGCCGCAGACGCGCGCGCGTGGTCCCTGCCCCACCCGCACGCAGCAAAAGAGGATGCGGTTGTCAAGGCGACGTGGCTAGGAGGAGGAGGAGAGGACGGAGGGAGGAGGAAGGATGGGCGGCCTGGGTGTAGCCGCAGGGAGGTGACTGAAGCCAGCCCCCCCCCCCCCTCCCCAACCCCGTTTTATTCCTCCTCCTGCCAGCATAAGCGCACGTCGCAGCACCTGAGCCGCTACTGCCGGCCGCCGCTCGCTCGCTCAGGACAGGCGATGGCTGAGCCTGCTCACAGCCCCAATCCCTCAGCCCGAGGCAGGGGAGGCGCTGAGTGGCGCACGCTCGGGCTTCTGCAGCTGCTGCTCTGGGTTGCGACTACCTGCCAGGTGACCCTGGGAGGGACCACACAGGAGCTTCACGCCTGCAAAGAGGTACCGTCTCCCACCCTGACCCCACTTTAAAGTCAGGAAAGAAACAAAAAAGGTTGGATCCAGGAGGAGACCTTGGTTGGGAGTGGGGCGGGGGGGGGGAGCCCTTAGCACAGTTTCTGACGGCACGGAGTTCAGGTTTCTTTGGGGGGGAGGCATGGAGGGGGAGGGGGAGAGAGGAGCAGCCTGGCGTCACCGGGGAGGACTCCTGAAAATAGATCAACCTCGTAGCTTGGGGATACGGAGCTTGGTGAGAAAGGCCTCCGGTTCCTGCAAGAGGAACTGAACCCCTGGCTCAGAAAGAATTAAGAGGAGGTCATGAGTTGCTTTACCGGATGCGGCGAATTTACTTGAAAAGTGTCTAGAAACATGGCTATGTTCAGAGTGGCTAGATCGAAAGAGGAAAGCTGGGTGGTGGGATAAGACAGGAGTTAGGAAGGCCAGGAAAAAAAAAAAAGGGCTAGGCAGATGTAGGAATCCTAGACTTCACACACACACACACACACACACACACACACACACACACACACAGGATGAAGGTGAAGGTGTGTGAGAGGAATGGTTGAGTCTCAGCAACTTTCTCTGCCCTTGTATTAAACTCTCCCTTACCCTGCCAGCTATGAAAAATGTGATCTTTATAGTTTTGCCTTCCACGTTGCACTTTGTTTAATGTTTAGCATCTGGTCTACTGTTATCTAGATTTCAAGTTCATTAACATCTAGTTTTCTGCCACTCCCTTACTCTCCTCCTCTGGCCTTCTGCTAGCATATGTTCATAAGTTTTTTTTTCAAAGTGTTTCTAAAATGTTGCTAGCATAACTCAGACGACAGGTAGTGAATATCTTCCAACCCGAAATGCCATTTGAAAGTTCTTTTTGGAAGGACAAATGCCATGAAATGCCATTTTTGGAGGGATGGGAAAAGGCATTGGAAATAATGAGATTCTGTAGTTTCTATATTGAAGCAATATTTGGTTGTACACAGAGGAACACTGATATAACAATAAAATATTGCCCTGCATGGTGACACATATTTATAATCCCAGCACTGAGGAGACTGAGGAAGGAGGATTGTGTGTTCCATATCATCATAAGCCACATAAACAATTAGCTGTGCACCAGTGGCTCAAATCTGTAATTCTAGCTACTTAGGAGGCTGAGATCTGAGGATGGAGGTTCAAAGCCAGGTAGAAAAGTCCTAGTGAGACTCCTATCTTCAATTAACTACTCAGAAGCCAGCAGTGGTGCTGTGGCTCAAAATTGTAGAGTATTAGCCTTGAGCAAAGGAGCTCAGGGACAATGCTCAGGTCCTGAGTTCTAGCCTCACAAATGATAAAACAAACAAACAATAACACAAACACACACTTGCAAGAACTACTATGGAAAAGGCAAAATAAAAGTTCTGTATCTCCATGAAATGTACAAGACCTCAAAGTCTATTAGGAGTCTAGTACTGTAAATGTCAAACTTGGATAAAATTTTGACTGGCTAATATATTCTTTTTTTTTTCTGATGACAGTAGGGTTTGAATTTAGGGCTTTGTATTTGCTAGGCAGGCATTATACCACTTGAGCCATGCCTATGGCCTATGTAGGTGGTTACATTTTAAAAATTAAGTTACCAGTTAACTGACTAGCAATGATAACTCAGTCTCATCTAGAGAAATCTTATTATGAAGGTCTGCCGCATAGCAAATCATGAAGTGGCAGGAAAGACTTTTGTTGGTGTTATTGTTGGGACTTGAACTCAGGGCCTAGGTGCTGTCCCTGAGTTCTTTTGCTCAAGGCTAGTGCTCTACCACTTTGAGCCACAGCACTATTTCCAGGTTTTTTTTTGGGGGGGGTCTGGTCGTGGGGCCTGAACTCTGGGCCTGGGCGCTGTCCCTCAGCTCTTCAGCTCAAGGCTAGCACTCTACACTTTGAGCCACAGTGCCACTTCTGGCTTTTTTCTTTTTGCTTATGTGGGGCTGAGGAATCGAACCCAGGGCCTCAGGCATGCAAGGCAAGCGCTCTACCACTGAGCCACCTTCCCAGCCCCACTATTTCCAGTTTTATTGGAGATAAAGAGTTTTATGGACTTTCCTGTTCAGCTGGCTTTGAACTGTGATCCTTAGATCTCAAGTCTCCTGACAAGCTAGGTTATAGGTATGAGCCACCAGTATCTGGGAAGAGATGTGTGTGTGTGTGTGTAAAGGTGTTTGACTTCAAAGATTAATGGATATGACAAAAATGATCACAGTGAGTGCTTGCCTTGGGCCATCTACCTATCTATCTACCAAGCCATTTTATGACACGTTTTAACAATACTGGGAACAGGATGATGTTGTCAGTGACAGTGGCTTATTGGCCTTGGTGGTCTGAGGTCTAACCAAAATAATGAGTGCAAGCAAGCTTGCTTATCACACATTGGCTTCTTCTTTGTGGCAGATAGGAATCTTACCAGATCTCCTTGATATTGGCCAGCTGTGTAAAATATGAATCATATAAGACATGAAACATTTTGTGTCATCTTGGTTTAGGGAGGGAAGAATAATGTTACCTAATAACTCTGCCTTATATGCACATTTTGACTTTAGTCTTACTGAAATGACCAGTATTTGCTTAAACAAATGGTCTTACACGGACGAGAGAAAGCCTTAAGGTGTTCAGCATACCAGGATTCCAATCCTGTTTCTTACCATAGTTTTTGGATCTGTGCAGTAGGCTTTATGGTAGCATATGCTAGTGTGCTTTAAAGATTGAAATAGAATTACTTCTCCCCAATCTCGCCTCAGCTTCTTTGCTCTGAAGTCCATACCCATGCCAGGTTGCATGGCTTGAGAGGTATCAGCAAGCTCTATTTACACTCTCCTTAAGCAAACAGTGGCTGCCAAACTCAACTCCAGAATAATAAGGAAGAGAATAAACTCGTTATTATAGAATTCTTCATTTTGGCAATATGAACTGATCCAACAAGCTTGGGAACTTCCAACTCCAAATGGTAAAAAGCTACCTCCAGGTAGACTAGTCTGTTTCAATTCCTAGTGAATTTCTTTTCTATTAATTAAGTAATTGATTGATTATTTTTTTGTGCGGAGACTAGGGCTTGAACTCAGGGCTTGGGCATTGTCCCTTAGCTTTTTTGCTCCAGGCTGACACTTTACCCACTTGAGCCACGGCTCTACTTTTAGCTTTTTAGTGGTTAATTGGAAA